ATCTCACCAGCATGTTTAGGCCTTCTACCAGCAGGACTTGCCTGCAGCTCTATTCTGAGCCCCTCCTGAACTACTGAGCATCTCACTCTCTGAAGCTGAACCAACAACTTGTCAGAATAAACTAATTTCCACCTGTTGTATCTGCAATTTTATTCTGAGGGTTCGAATTTATATCAACTAGTTACTCAACAGCTTCCCCTTCAGCTTCAGGTCTCTCTTCACCACTCAAACCATTAAGACGTGGATCTGCTAATTTTCATTGTAACCACTTCACACTGAGCTTCAAACTCTCTCAAACTGTCTCAAGAGCTGATTTCATTAATAGATTAATCAAAAAAAGGATTGTATCATCTGCAAAAAGGAGAGACGTGTTTCTGAGACCACCAGATCTGAAAGAGTCTGTACAAAACCAGCAGTGGCGGAGTCCACCACTCTCCAGGAATAAGTATGACTTATTGACTGTAATGTGAACCAAGCTCTGGCTGCAGTTGTCCAGGTACCAAGTAGCCTGTAACAATGGCAAACACCCAAAGCAACACCAGGATGACAACCACATCATAGCATAGATCTTCCCTGGAAACTCTAAAGGTGTGATTCCCCATAAAAATAGGGTCTTTAGGGTCTTCCTCCCTAAAAAAAAAGAAAAAAAAAAGGAAGAGGGACCACATCTCCAGCCTACCCATTCAGAAGTAGTGTCCCTGACCTCCTGCCAATGAGTGCCAACCAGCACAGCCGACTACATCCAGAACCTTGATCAAATTCAGATGAATCTCATTCACCAATGGTGCCTGACAACCACAGAGCACTTTAACTGTTTGTGTGTCTTCAGCCACACTGGCGTATGTGCAAAAATGAAATGAACAATGACGTTACTCACCAGAGCGACAAAGTGCAGCAGGTTCATGCCTGGTTTGTTAGCTTTGGTGTCAGCCAGAGACAGGAGGGATGACAGCTTGAAGCCTACTGCGTTTCCTGCATAACCTCCCTGCAACGCACATAGCACAGAAATTAAACTCACACTTGAACAACAATTAAAACACTTGAACAACAGAATCTGAAGGTATAAAACTACATTTCCCACAAAGCAGTTGGTCTCCATAGTCTACCTGATAAGAGAGAGTAGAGACAGCAAGTCTCCAGTTTGACTGTACACCTAACATGTATCGCCCAATTATCAGCTCATTCTGTTAAACATTTATCAATTAAATGAACATAAATACACTTTTTCTGCAATCATTGTGTCATGACAGTCAAATGAGCTCATGCATTCAGACCCTGAGATTTTAAATGACAGATACTAAGATTGTGTAAATAAGCTAACACTAAAATACAACTTCTGCTCAAACTAGCAAACTAAACCGTCAGAAATAACAGTAGTACCTCAAAAGCAGTGTTGTTGAGGTACTATCAACCTCCGAACAATTTAACACAGACAAACATTTTTAAATGTGCTCTGCTGTGTGAAAAATGACCACACGCCGTCTGCTTGAAACCACTTCTCCTCTTGGAATAAGACAAGGCCTCATAACCACTCCCACTTCCTGTTTCTGAAAAACACCCAAATCTTTTCCTGTATTGCATCAGTATTAGAGAAACTCACACAGTCACTGACACTGAGAGGAGAAATGGCACAGAAAGGAGTTCAGCTGGACCGAGAAACCTTCTCTTGTTCCAT